AGGATAAATTATAATAACTTTGGACCATAATCAACTTTGTTTTATGTTAAGAAACCTGCAAAATGAATTAAATTCAACAATTACCTCTCGTGCCAACACGTGCTTTAAAAAATGCAACAAAAGTGCCCTCTAGGGTGATAATTCCCACAGTGAATAAGCTGTTTCACCATAAATGCATTACAACTTTCTGTTTGCTGGTGTCCCTTCAGGGGAGTCCATCCCCCTGGCCTAAACATCATAGTATTATTTAACTATTTGTTTTTATTAATATGTTCAATTTGTTTTTTTTCTATTCGAAAATGTTTTAACCACTACTCTTGTAGAAAAATCTCTGCAGATTCTCTTCAGCACAAATCAAAGTGGGGATCTTCGTCACAGGTTGTCATATGCAGGATTATTCTTGAGGTTTATGTCCCAGGATTAGATAAAATAAGATAAGATTAGATAAGATTAGATAAGAGAAGAGAAGAGAAGAGAAGAGAAGAGAAGAGAAGAGAAGAGAAGAGAAGAGAAGAGAAATAAACTTTATTGATTTTCACACTGGAGAATTTAACTTGTTGTCCTGATAAACTTCCAGTGGTAGAGGAAATACTTCGATCCTTTACTCAAAGAACCAGTGTGTAGAATTCAGTGGCATCCAGCAGCTAAGATGCAAATTGTAACAAACTGAATACAGCTCAAGTACAGTGACTACAGAAACATTGCAGACTGCGTAGAAGAGGAACCTCTGTAGATGAACACAGCTCATTCTAAGGTAACAAAAACATGATCCTTATTTCCAGGTGATTATACACTAATGTAAACATACTTATAAATATTATATCCCTGGAGCGCCAGAGCTGGCACCTCATGTGCCAAGGCTGAGGCCCGGTTGCAGCGGCCATGGGTTTAAGTCCGACCTGTGGCTCTCTCATGTAGCATCCCCCCCCTTTCCTGTCCATGCTGAGCTGTATCTAATAAAGGCAATAACGCCCAAAATGAATATTATATTCCATTTCTGACAATAGATCCTCCTAAAAGTACAACTACGTCGAATTTTTACTAAAGTAAAGTACTTGTGTAAATGTTCCTCTACTGCAAATCTAACCACTGAAAACTGCTGAATCCTCAAATTATCGTCAGCTTCAGAAGTTATTTTCATGCAGTTTGAGGACTGTTGGTTTATTTTCTTGGTCACGTTAGAAAGGGATTACTTCAGGAGGACGTACACACACGTGAGTGTCCATTAATCCAGACACCTGCTGCTCCAGAGGAAATGGGGTCACATCTTCATTATGTAGATTTCCTGTGTGTCTGCAATAAGTGACCTGTGACCTGTGTGTGTGTGTGTGTGTGTAGTCAGCTCTGCTCTGACAGGACTGATCCCAAGCGACAGGTAAAGAGCCTGACTGACCTGGTTACACACTCACACACACACACAGCAGGTTATCTCCACATGGTTAGTGTGTTTTTACGCCACATGATGAAATATTGAAGAAACAGAGGAGGAGGAACAGTGTGTGTGTGTGTGTGTGTGTGTGTGTGCGTTAAACTTTACTGTCTCTTTCATAACCGACGTGATGAAATCAGAAGCCAAGTGTCTGACTCAACTACGGACTGCCACAAGAACACACACACACTGAGAAACACACACACACTCTTTCACACTGTCCTCGTTCTCTGGATTATCACCTGTACAACACCTGTGCTGCTGTGACACTGGCGTTTTGATCTCCCCCTGAGTCAGACTGCAGTGTGTGTGTGTGTGTGTGTGTGTGTGTTACAGCTTTAAATCCACCTCCTGTGTGTAGACCTGCAGTCTGGTCTCTCAGCCCTGTTCTGGTGGTCTCTCTCTGCTTCAGGGCAAATCCGGTCTAACATGCCTGGGGGAGCTCGTGCTGGGTTTAATATTTGGCTAACAGTGGGAGCATTAGGACACAGTTAAAGCCCCGGGGTGGTTGGACGACACAATGTGTGCACTCGGTGGTCCAAGTGCAGTATTTTTTTTCCAAATAAAGTTTCCTGCTGGTTATATTATTACTAGACTGCTTGTAAACCAATAACGGTACTTCCATGTAGTTAAAGTGAGTGAAGTGTATGTTATTGTCGCTACGCTTCACTGCAAGAATAGCATGCATGCCAGTATCTATTAAAGTGAATTAGATCACAGTGTAGCACACTGGTCTGCTGGCTGCTGCTGCTGCTGCT